ATGATGGATGGATGGATAGCAGCTTCTCTTCCACAATTCAGCTTTCAAATGAAGCTCACTTATCAATAATATTCAGAAAATTTCTTGCCAATTATCCTGTTCCTGCAGGATATTTTGGGGGGACAATTATTCTTCCCAGCCTTCATACCTTCATACCGCTGTGGCTTTGTAATCTTGGCAACTTCCCCTCTTCACGTAACTATGGACCAAAAAAACAGAAGAGGAGATGCAGAAAGGAAAAAAAAAAATCAAGATTTTGTTCTCTCCTGTTCCCGCTGCGTAGGGGGGATCCCGGCGCAAACTTACTCGGTTTTCCTCTTCGAAAAACTTCTTGTTTTCGGGTGAGGCGTAAACGGCCCGGTTGCGGAAGAGGAGATGGTTACGGCCAAAAGACCGGTGGACCAAGACGGTTTCGCCACGGTTTCCCACGTCTGCAAATTGAGATACGGAGAAAAGTTTGGAGGCAGGCTTGTGTGTGTGTGTGCGTGTGTGTGTGATCCTTAGCTCTTGCCAATGTACAGATAATCCTTTTTTAAAAAATCTTTTATAAAACATCTCATTAGGTGAACAATGTGGTTCCAGGTTTTCACATTTCCATACAAACGTGACCATAATTCCATACTAACTTTTATATCCAAATTTATATATTATTTATTACCTTTTTCTTTAAATAATCTCATACATTACTTAACAATATTATGTTCTTATTCAATTTCTATATTCATTATTCTTTTTTATACAATCTCATTTCATATTATAGCTTAGTTCATTTTTCTTTAAATATTCTCCTGTCTTATTAGACAATATTACCCATCTTCTTATTCAATTTCTATAGTAATTATACACATATCCTTACAGTACAGATAGTCCTTGACTTACAATGTAACTCCCTAAATGACCGTTTGAAGTTACAACGGCAACAAAAAAAAGCGACTTATGACCATTTTCCACATTTATGACGGTGTCAGTGTGTCAAAATTCAGCGGACAGAATGGGCAGCCGGCTCATATTTATGACGATTGCAGCGTCTCTGGGGTCGTGTGTGTGATCCCCTTCTGGACGAGCCACGTCAGATTCGCTTAACGGCCCATGTTACTCACTGAACAGCTGCAGGTTTTCACTTAGCGACGGCGGCAGGGGAGGCCCTGAAACGCGGCGAAACTCAGGTCACCTAAGAAACGCCTGTGCGGAGGTCAACGGCGGGGAGGGTCTCGTACCTTCCACCGGTTCAGTGAGGATGAGTTCGAGGGGCTCTTTGGGCCGGTGCTTCAGGTCCTCCACCAGACGGAAGACGCGGAAACGGGGGTGTTTGATGCGAGGCTCCCGGCCTTTTTTGCTCAGCGGGACTTTCCACCAGCGCTCCACGACGACGGTCTCCTGCAAGGCAGAGAAGTCGGGGAAGGGCTTGGCCACAAACCGAGATTGTTTTAGCTAGTTTTGGGGGGAATGCAATGGAGGAGGCGGAGTGGGGCTGGCTGGGACCCTCCCCGCCCCAAAGTCCAGCTGAATCTAGCAAAGTGCGTTTCTTTTTTCTTTCCCTTTTTTCCCTCTCTTTCTCTTCCTTCCCTCCTCCCTCTTTCCTTTCTTTTTTCCTCCCATCTTCCCTCCCTCTCCATATTTTTACTCCTTTCTTCCCTCCTTCCTCTTTCCCTCTTTTCTCCCATGCAACCCTCTCTCTCCTTTTCTCTTTCCTTTTCCTTCCCATGCTTCTCCTTCCTCTTCTTTCTTTCAACTTTCCCTTCCTTCTCTTCCTTCTTTCTTCCCTCCTTCCTCGCTTTTCCTTTCTCTTCCTCTTCCTTATCTATCCATCTCCTTTCTTCCTCCCTCCTCTCTCCCTTTTTCCCTTCCTTCCTTCCTTCCTTCCTTCCTTCCTTCCTTCCTTCCTTCCTTCCTTCCTTCCTTCCTTCCTTCCTTCCCTATTTATCCATCCATCTCTTCCTTCCATCCAACCTTCTCTCTCCTTTTTTCTTCTTCCCTCCCTCCTTCTCTCCTTCCCTTTTTCTTCTCTCCTTCCTTCCTTCCTTCCTCTTATCCGTGTCCAGGAAGCCCATTCAGACGACCCAGCCTCTCCCGAGCCACCTACCCCGCTCTTTGGCCCTGGGCAGCATCGCAACACCCATCCTCCACAGCCCTCCCCAATCTGCAGCCCCAGGCGTTCTCTCCTGGTGGTCCCCCATCCTTCCTTCCCACCTCCCCGCCAGGGGCTGTCCCGCCCTCCCCCGCCAGACCGGACCCCGAAGGGCCCCTCCCGGCCCGGCCGAGCTCACCCGCGGGGCCGAGAGGCTCAGCCCCCTGGGCAGGAGAAGGGGAAGAAACCCCGCCGGCGCCCCCAACACCGCGCGGGACAGCGCCGCCGCCATCATGGTTCCCACCACAGGCCCCGCCCCCCGACGACTGCGCAGGCTCGGAAGCCCAGCAGGCCACGGCTAAGCCCCGGCCTCGCGTAGCGCCGCCTGCTGGGCATATCCCTCTTCCCGCGGGCGGCGGCACCACGACAGCCCCCGGCTGTTGACTGGGCCGGGCCGGAGGGATCCCGAACGGGTGGGCTGCCTCTCAATACAGGAGTCTCGGGGAGGATTGCCTCGGAGCGTGCCTCCCCCCTCCCCGCTGCCATGGATGCAAAGCTTTAATGGGGTGGGAGTGAAGGGGGACTCTGAGCATGTGTAGAGGGCTGTGTGTCACCAGCAAAGGCATCCTGCCTCCCTGCCGTGAATGCAAAGTTGCAACAGGATGGTGGTGAAGGGCAGTCTTGGGCATGCACAGAAGGCTGGCTCCCTGCCAAACAGAAGGAAACACAGTACCTCTGAGCATGCACAGAGAGCTTTCCCTCCTGAATGTGAGAAAGATTGGAAACACCCTTTAATTTGGAAGGGATGGTACAAAAGATTCATTTCCTCCCGATATAAAAACAATTTCCCAAAGGCACTGTGCCTCTGAGTGTGTACAGAGTGTTTTCTTTTCCACAATCCCCAATGTCTTTTAATATTTGAAAACCATTCAAGTGGTTACAAATGGGGTGACAAATGGGGTGACCCATCAAGCAATGCCATCCCTCCCCATAAACCCGTTTTGAACGGGGGGGGGCATGTAGACAAGCCACCATGGGAGGGGCCAAAAGTGGGAGGAGCTTAGCATTGTGGTCACAATGGGGGTCTGTTGTGCCTCTGGCTGCCGGTTTCATCGGGTCACAATGGGGCCCTTGGCTTGAGGCCCTGTCCCTCAGGGGCCACTCATCCCTGGGCAGATGCCACCCAAGAGCCAGAGATCGTCCAGGGACCTCGCTGCCTGCTTTGGGGCGACGCTAAGCCTGCTTGGACCCCCCCTTTGAGCTTCATCTGAACTTCACCCTCGAGGAAACATGACCCCCTCAAACACCAAGTGAGCCTCCGCAGCGCCATCTGGGCACCGCTGCCTGTCATAGCTGGCTCATCCGAGGCTAAGCCAACAATCGTGGCTTGCTGACCCCTGGTGGCCAAACCTGGCAGACCCAGATCCTTTCGTTTAGCCCAGGACCAACTCATTTGGGTCCCTGGGATGCTCCTGGCAGAAGAAAAACACAAACTTCCCGCTAAAATTTCACACTACGGATATTGTGCCAGCCAGATAAGCCCCATGATGCAAACCCATGGCTTGTTCTTGGATAATCCAAGATCACCTGCAAGGCCAGAGAAATTGGGAAACCGTTTCAAATTCGGCCCTTGCATTTTGCACGTGGCGTCCAACTTTGCAAACCTTTGTTTTGCTGTTTGCAAACTTGTTCGCGTTTGCAGCTCGGGGGTTAAATAAAAGGAATGTTTTTATTTATTTAAAGGGTGGGAAAATGTCAACTTTTCCTCTTCTCTTCTGCCAGGGCAACAACCCTTGCCCGCCCGGAAACTTTGAGCACCCGTCCTCGCTACTGCCCGCAGTGCTCCTGAGTTCGAGGGCGCCAGTTCCAATCGGTGTGGTCCCAGTGCCCCAGCAGATTGGCTGAGCCCAACTGAGATCTACCAGGTAAGAAAAAAAAAACCGGTGTCAAACCAAGTGTGGCTAGGAAGAGGGGTTGATGGGCACTATAGTTGCAGCCCTACTGGGAAAATTACATATTTTCAAACTTGGTTAACTTTAACGTGACTGAAGTTCCAATTCTGCTTTTTCAAACCTGGTCATTTTTTTAAGGTGACTAGACTTCCAACTCCCAGAATTCCCTAGCCAGCGTGGCTAATTGGCAGAGCATGATGGGCACTGTATAACGCAAGCCCTACTGGGAAGAGCCTTTTTCAAATGTGCCAACTTTAAAATGACTGGACTTTTTGTCTGTCTGCTTTTTCCAAACTTGCCAACTTTTCAGATGACTGGATTTCAACTCCCAGAATGGGATTTGAAATCCAGCCATCTTAAAAAGTTGCCAACTTGAAAAAAATAAACCCGCTATTTTACACTGCCAGACTAAAAAGGAAATATTTAATATACAAGCGTGCAAGTTTTCACTGTTAACTTCTGAATCGCCTAACTGGGGCTTCGTGCAATTTTTTCCCCCCTGCCTTCCTAACAGGCTGCCAACCTCACCGTTTTTGCTAGTGACGATCAACACTCCGATCGGCCGGTGCAGCTGGATTTCCACTTCACCCATGGCAGCCAGGGTGCCAGCCATTGGCATGGACTTCTGCAAGGCTCTACCCTTTTCCTGGACACCCCTAGGCTGGCACTGGATTTCAACAGCCGGGAAAGGTGAGGCCAAAAACCGTGTTTAAAATTCCTTGAAGGTTTCGATCAGGGCAGTCTGGGCCTTGGGCGGATTGTGTTGTGTTATTATAAAACTTGAATTTTGGAGTGACTGTCCATCTGGCCTGATCCTATAGCTTGACCGCCACGCTGGAATACATCGAAGAAAAAACAGGCGCAGAGCAAGTGCTGGTCAACTTCCATAAGGCTCGGCGAGACCGAGGTAAAATAGGGGCTTTGGGGGAACTTTTTATCCTGGTGGTGGTTTTTGGGCTGGGAGTGAATTTCCAAGCCTCGGAAAGAAATATATATGGGCTGCCCATAATTAATCCAAATGATAAAGGAAAAAGGAGAATTGGTTAAGGATGACATTGGAAGAAGGCGAGGATCCCAAAACGGTTAAAACACAGGCACCTACAGCCCCAAATTTGTTGCTAAGCGGGACAAGTTGTCTCATAAATACGAATCACTTGCCCAGTGCCTGGATTTTGATCACGTGGCCGGGGGAAGGCTGCAACGGTCGTAAGTCTGGGAAACAAACGGCCGAGCCACCTCTAAACGAACTGCTGTCGACCTGTACCTTCTCAGCAGGCCAACACCTTGCCCCAAAACTTAAGTGATAAACCCTGATTGGATCCGAGGGGGAAACCACCCCAGGAAGCAGCAT